GCTCTATCCATTCTTTAGGTCTTTTTAACCAGAATAAATTTCGTCTCACTCTATTTGGTCTGTTCTACCTACCTGAATAATCGTCTATTAACTTGCACTCGTTGCTTACGCTAATTATGCTTATGTTCGTTAACTTTGTTGCTTTTGTAGCATTTTTTGAGTAAGTTGTGGACAATTTGTACTTATCACGGATGCGTTGCTAACCAACTTACTTCATTTGCTAATTTAGCGAAGAGTTATGTCGGCATAACCGTATGCTTTAACAGATATATTTTATTTGTTAATGTCATTTCAAGAGATTGGCTGTTGTTTGACATCCCCGGTGTGGCTGCGCTTGATGTGCATGTTGACAAGGTGCCTACCTGTCTATTACCCACTACATCGTTCATACTGGCTCCAGGAGACAGTTGGTCGTTGCTGGAGGGGACGGAGTGCACGGTCCTTGTGGCCGTGTTAGGCTCGAAGAGTGGTTCCATGCAGTCAGTGTGGAGCGGACTACGGTCCAGCCACCGCCTTGTGTGTGGTTGATTCCCAAACACAGCGTGCTTGTGTTTGCCTGTGAAGGAGTGTGGGCCGGCTCCGTTGATGAAACGTGGCTCCCATCCACATGCCTCCCGGTCTTATTCCTTCGGGTTTACACTGCATATGGGTATGTGGATGGAGCTGTGGGTGGTTCAACGCAAGCCATCCATGGTCCCTCTGTAGGTGCAGGCGTCCTGTGGCTGGCCACAGTGACAGGCAAATCCGAAACCGAATGCCGTCAACCATCCATTCTTTAAAGGATTCGTTCGAATTTGTTGATGAAGTTAAATGTCTGAATTCAAGGGGTAAACTGATACTTTCTTTTGATGTAGAGTCACTTCACAGACGTCCCATTGCTAGAAACTGATACTTTCATCTGCGAGTATGTAACGGAAAAGAGCCTAAACATTTGCATTTCAGTGCCTAAGGTCAAGTAGCTAATTTTACGGCCTACCTTTAATAGACAATTCTTGTTTGACGGGATATATTATAGGCAACTCGATGGCATGGCGATGTGGTCCCCCGTTGCACCCTTCCTTGCCGCCATCTTTCTCATAAAGCTTGAGCGTGGTCCCATCCAAACGGTTATTGCCTCATTTGATTCCTATTGGGTATATGGATGACACTTTCATCATCTGTGATTATCGCAGTGATGTCAACCGTGTGCTCAAATAATGCAACACTGCTCATTCCTCAATGAAATTCACTAGTGAAGTGGAAAATGAAGATAAGCTGGCTTTTCTGGACGTTTTGTAGAGTAGGCGCGAAGACGGCTTACTTGAGCGAAGTGTCTTCCGCAAAGCTACATGGGTTAGCCAATGTACACACTTTTCGAGCTTCGTCCCTCCGAAGTACAAGTGCAGCTCGTTGCGTTGCTTGTATTATCGGGCCACCAACATTTGTAGCCCGGAAACACTCAAGCGTGCGGATGACCGATTTGTGAAAACTCTTCTTTCGAATGGTTACCCTGAACCTTTCATCAAAAAGCACGCCATGACGCGCGAACGCTCTAAGCCCGTAGCAACGGTTTCCAAGAAGGGTGTGTTTCTCTCAGTTCCTTTAAGGGGGATATCACCTTCGGTCTCCTGGACAGGAGACCGGCCGCCCACCCGCATATACTTGCGGAGACCGCACCCTTTAAAACTCAACCTCTTAAAGACAGACTGCCAGTGTCGTCCGAATCGCACATTGTTTACCAGTTTAATTCCACCTGTGATGCTAAGTACTTCGGACATGCGACCAGACGTCTTTCGGTACGGATGGCTGAGCACTGCTCAAGGCCACTGCGGAGAGGCACGCTGAGATGTACTAACAGTTCGATCTTTTAACATTTGCTTCAAGGTAGGCGTCAGATTTTTACCGAATATGCCTTCATGGTCTATTATGCCGTATCGAGGCGATACCCGAAAGAATTAAGGAAACACCTCTTGCAGACGGCTGTCTCGCAGGCTAACACAACCAGAGCTATGAAGGCATAGTGTGCTTGGGTAACTTGACTTTTCCATGGCCCTGATGAGAAGTCGTGCCCCTGGAGTATTACACATAACCGGGTGCTATTTATGTGTGTAATTATCTATTTTATTTTCTTAGTATTTTTGCCTCTTCTGTTTACACAAATTGTTTCGCTTTCTGCTAACCCTGTCACGGCGTCACCTGATTACATCGCTTTGAGCATCGAACGAGCCTGCTAAATCTGTTCAAACCGTCCCATCTGTCCTTATTTTTGCCTTCACCAGCCTACTGTTACATTTATCTATCCTGTAACTGTATTTGCCCGTCTGAAATACCGAAAGATCTATTTGCAACTGTGTTTTATATCTGAAGAGCTTATCGGCGAACTCCCCATCACTCTACCATCCTTACACCGTGCTTCTCGCTGACTTGCAGGGGTCCACAAACAGCTGCTCTCTAGCGTCGCTGTAAGGAGTAGAATATGTAAAGACTCGTGCATTTTCCGTCCCTCGTTAGCTGAGATGAAAACGTCCATGTATACTTATCTCGCCTATTTCTTTTAATTAATTAATAAATAATTTTATATTCTCGGTGTTGCACGAGGCACGCTTGTATACTAGCGAATCTGAGTAATTTTCTATACTGAAGAACCAGATTCGGCGATGGGGAATTGGATTTCTGCGGAATGTACGCGCATAAATCGTGCATTACTCTTAAAATTGTTTTCATTAATTAGGATACGGCTGCGTTTTATCGCAAAGACCAACCCATTATTGGGTTTGCTTTATATCAACTACTGCTGCTTATCCTGCACTGAAGATGCCACCTCGAATGGTGGCGAAACGTTTACAATCAAGTTGCCCAGCTCGGAGCATTCCACAGCAACAGAACAAGTCTCCCGAACTACCAATATTCCAAATCTTTTCGTATAGCTGTTTCCGCCGCACAATAAGGAGCAGCTGAATGAATCACGAGATACTGCAGTCAAGACTTGTTCCAGATGGTAGATAGCCTTGGAACGAACCACATCGATGGGTAGATACGCATTCTTACCTACCTGGTCCCGAAGTCAATGGCGCTCATTCATTCGGTCTACTGTTTATTTTCGCAACCTGTTTTGTTGTTTTTAATCGTTCAAACTTACCTCAGTTTCTACCATTGTTTTTAACATGAATTTTTGCATTGGAACGGGCTCAACCTCTATGGTATATTTTTGATGCTAATTCCAAATCTGAACTCCATTTTGCTTTACAGCTCTTGTTTTTACGACTTATGGGCAGGTCACTAATGTTAATGATCTTAATTTAAGAATCAACATGTAGAATAACAACATTCATAACGTCAGTGAAATTTGTAACTTACATATAACTACATGATGCATTTTAAACTGCATATAAACTAAAATCTGTGCAATAGATTGCTAAAAAATTTAAACAAATTAACTTAACAAAGACCATCACTATCATATGGTACATATAAAGCTTTTATTCATACATACTTAGAATGCTGTCTATGTGTACAGTCCCGTTGCAGTCTCCAGCAATAATATACCACCATGCGGGGTCCCATCTTCCCTGGTATCTTCCATTATTTTAAAATCTTGATGAAATCTTTAACTTGTTCCTCGCCTAAGTCTCCCAAATTTCCAGAAAGCCTTTCTAGTGAGTATGCAAATAATGAATCCTGGTGCTCATATTATAACCAAGTTTTGGCAATTTCATAGGCTTACCATCAAATAAATCTGCACAGATGTCTGTTTTGTGGTTGCCAAGAAAGTTTGTAACCACTTGAGTAGATGCAGGCCAACCAATGAACTCTATCTCATTCAACGATTCAAGACATGGAATCTTGAATAACTTGCCTTATTTGAGGACCATCAAAGATTCATACTTTAAATTTCCCCATGCAGTGTAATCCAAACACAAACAGTCTATGTTCAAAGCTTTCACAGATTGCTTAATCGAGCCTAACTTGATGTGTAATAGTGGTAAAAGGATTTTGCCACTGGCGACCAAAGGTGCATTAACAATGTCACGTTTCTCAGAAACCGTTGTTTCTCTCAGTGGCCAGCCTTTTTACCCGGTGGTCCTGTTTGTCTTTATTGTCTCAAATACATCAAAACAACGGTGTTTTGTGCATCCAACTTGAAGCCCAGGAAGAAATTTCATCATCTTTGAATCAACATGCATCACCCACTGATGCTTGAGGTAATTTGTCTTTTATAAGACAACAAACTGTGTTGTGCTCCTCTTTTAAGGTTGTTGAATAACCATTGGGAGTGGGTCCGCATTTATTGCTTTGTACAGGATAACACACTCCAAACTCCTCTTGAAGCTATCGACAACAAGACATCCATCATTTGATGTGTTTTGACAGACTCATTTTCATCGGCAGCCCCTCAACATCATTCCTGAAAACTAATTTGGTGCCCTCAATAAAAAGTTGTGGTAAATCCTTTCCTCTGCCATGATATAATGTGGTTTCGGTCTTGAGCAGGAAGCGTTATTACAGTCTAGAAGCCAGCAATTCAGACTACTCCTTTGAGATATTCAAGTCTATGGCAAGGTCCTTCAGTTTCTTCTGGTCAAAACGCTAATGGTGGAACTAAAAAACCGCCGTCGCTATTTCCGCATTTCTGACTATTAAATGAATCTGGCACATTAGATTCATCCAGTGGTGGTCCAGGAATTCTACATTATGTTGGAACATGCCAGTCATATGAATGTGGTACAAGTCTTGTTGCTGAAGCTGTCATAACAGTTATCATTGTAAGGTGGCCCAAAGCGGTTGTATATGTAGCTTTTCGCCTTCAGATCACAGTTGCCTCATCCAACTAACCTAAATGGATTGGGCCGAAATTCCTTTACGTTTTTGTAGTGGCACTCCACTCAACCATTTCCTCGGGTTCAAACTTCGTCCTGTAACTGCGTGACAGCCGAGTCTATTCTTACCGTAGTATGGTGCTGTGGCCATTGTCTTCAATCCTAATGAGTTGTTTCGCTTTTCCTCTCGCTTCCCACAACCAGGTCGTTCGTCCACGCAGCAACAGCTTGAACAACCGGTTCTTGCCTTACAATTTGATCCGAACTGATGCTGTGCTGTCATTGGATGATGATGTTCAGCTTCGACATGATGAAATTGTCTTCGGCTTCCGGTGAGTTCTCCCAGGCATCCAGTCTGGAATAGGGGGCCTCAGCTTGCTCTATTGACGATCGCCAATCTGTTTTGTTCACTTGCCGCTGTATGTATGCTTGCGTCCATCATTGTATTTTGTATCTTGTACCTTTACTTTTGATTTTCTTCGCCGATTATCTCAATGCTCTTTGCGCACAATTGTTTTTGTACTTCATAAGCAGTTTGAAGCAAATATCGGGGCCGAATTAGATGGGTTACTTCGAGTTCATCACAACTGGATTCATGTAGACGGGCACTACATATCCGAAGAAGTGCTGAATGGTTGTTAAGCTCTTTCGGAAATCACAGGCAGTGTGTATTCCATCCGTTCCCTTCGGAACTAGAACCCATGTAATAGAGGCATAAGCGGAGCACGTAAACTACCCGCTACATGCAAAGGTCATCAGCACGGGCGTGCTACGACCTTGGACCTTTCCGCTGAATTTGAGAATCGAGTGAGAATTTGATCGGCCAGCAAATACCAGCCCGCGTCGAAGGAATCGGACTACTCCGTCATTATGATAAATTCGTGGATCGTAATTCACTCACACTGGCTGAAAACCAGACGCAGAAGAGTGAGTGACGCTGACCTCCTAAATTAGCATGTTTCCTTTGCCAATAAATAGAGTTAACCTACCCTCTGGATATACTCTCTGTCTACGGTTCTGGCCTTTTGTATTCCTTCGGTTGGCTGGGTGCGTGTCTGAGCTGTCAGACAGTCGCAGTCTCACAGGGTAGCAAAGCCGCAGTACAACAATTGTCAGTAACAGAGAGCAGAGGGAAAGAAGCAGCGTTACAACACCATGATCCTACGCTTCCTTGTCAGTGGTTTTGAGATACTGAACCACTTTGGACTTCGATGATCGACATGACAAAGTTACCACTTGTGATGTGGCACGGTTCACTCTCCACTTATTTGCACATCCTGCAGCGTAACTCCCGAGCAACGCCTTTCCATGCTTAAGCTGCCATTCAACCTACAACAGTATAAGCCGTATTGGATTCCTACTGATTGTGATGAAATAAGTTGCCTTTGCCACAATTCCGTTTACCATCTGAGCTAGACCACTTCCCTTGCTTGTCCATGGATTTCGTTGCCGCCTCCTCAATAGGACTTTGAACAAACAAAGCAGCACAGCCGTTTGTTATTCTGTTTCGACCTTACACGATGCATGGAACACAAGTTGGCACCACTTGGTTCACTTTCTTCCTTATTTAACCATTTGGCTTGTGTCAACCATACACGTCTCTATTTCTTCTTTTTTCATTTCTGTGCAGCGTATGGCGAGAGCATCGCGATCAGTTAGTCGGTTTCCCGGCTCGATCTCATTACTGGGATGCCAATACTAAAGAATGGTATTATCATTCTGATTACACGTGCGAGTTTTCCATGACGCTCACCGGGGCATCCTTTTTACATAAAGTACGTTTTACTGGCGAGTCTGTGACCTCCTCCGCATTTCTAATGTTTTTGTTATTTTTTTCCTTCATGACTGTTCATCTTTCGGCAAACCAAAGTTCTGATGGCCGCCGCCGTTTCCTTTCGTATTCCTATGTAACTTTCTGGCCTTCGTTCTGCAAAGTTTTCGCTACTCTAACCGAAGTACCTGATCACCACTGTATCCGGGATCCTTTAGTTACTACAATCTTCAGTCACCTAGCGAAGTTACGCCTCTAACACCTCATCCTCATGGTGAATATATTCATCCTTTTTAGTTGACTGAGCTCGCTTATTTTAGCTATTCTCTCAGGACCCGATCATATGCTACATGCTTGTATGTTGCTAACTAATTTCCAGGTTGTTGATCATGTAAAGTGACAAGCGACGCCTATATCACTTGCCGCCGCGCCTACGGTCGACACTTGGTGCACCTCAGTTGTTAAAAGAATTTCTATTTGGCATTCTTTTTTGTGAACGATCTTAGTTGCCGTTTTTTCATTCTTCCTATTGTCTACCACTTGACACTTGTTTAAACGCTCCACTTCTCTAATCCCATTGGCAAACGCACGTCGTAGTAATGGACGCTCACCTTATTTGTCGGGTTCAGCAGCGTCATTTCCAAGAACATATTTGATTGATTTTGTTCCCATAAATTTCTATTTAGTTTACGTACGTTTTTTGTACTAGTGCTTACTTCCCGGTTTTGCATTCCTTCCTATCTCCCGTTTCGTGACCCTTGATTAAACACGCCACCAATACCCGTCGTTGTGATTGCATCTTCACCGTACGATTTGGGTCCCATAATGCTATTTCCGAGGACATATCTGATTCGTTCTTCCTTCCACGGCTGCTCATTCGCTGGTTGCATTTAGCGTTTTCCCTCTGTTTGGTTGGCTCGAATGTGTTTTAGTAGTTTCCCTTCAAAACCTATGTAAGCCCGTATGATTTAACGCATAGAAGTCTTTCCCGGTTCCTTTTTGAAGTTCTTTTTGCGGTCCTGTGGGGGAGGCGTCGGTTTCAACACATCAGTTACAGCCTTTCAGTTGAAACGTCATAAAAATGCCAAATAAAGCAATGCATCGAATGGTTTTTGCCTGTGACTCGTGATATTTAGTAACTCCCAGTTGAAGTTACTGAGTCGATCGAGTTTGTATGCTGCGTTTCCGAGTTAATGAACTGCCTAGCCATGTGCTCACGTGTTATCGGACAGTCGGAGATACCGCAGCGCCATTTCACTTAACTGCGTCTTCCTTAGCTGATCTATGTTATGCACATCTAGGCACGCGAAGTGACATATAATGTGCTAAAAGAACTTCAGTGATTCGCCACATTTCATTACGAATGTCTGCCTGGTGGGAGCACCGACTGATTAATACCAGAGTTCATCAGTCGAAGCTTAGGATCAGGTCCTCTCTTGTCTCCCTGTAGCCACATTTTTCACTCGCTTGCTTTGTGTGTGCCGTTTGACATGTCAACCGCTCGGTTGAAACTCCGACTTGCCCTCCTGTTGACATGGCAATGCATCTGAGGAGTTTCTCAGGCTGTGCGCATCCTATCCTCTAATGCAAGGTCCAGGTGTTACACCAGGCAATCCAGTGCCTCAAAAGTACACTGTCGTCTCACACACCTGACCGTGAACTTCACTCTCACCCAATGGTCTAGTGTGGTTCATATGCACCTGGCCGCCGCCTATCTGACATACACTCTTACGTCAATCTATATTGGCTTTCTTGCCTGTTTCATGTGACTTAAGATCTGGTCAATACACTGTCCGATGCGATGAGTCTTTGTTCCGACGGCTAAACGCCCCTTAACTGCAATTATAACACTGGTGATGGAGAGGGCTGAGTATTCATAGCTAACCCACGTACTACAACAGCAGCATGATTACATCCAGCAGCAACGGAGGGCTATGTTTCAACAAGAACAAAGACACATTAATTGAGGTTCTTCATAGACCGCCTCCAAATCAGCTAGTCGTCTACATGCCCGGTAAAGCACTTTCAGCCTGTTGGGCATCGTCATTAGTGCGGATCCATCAGGATTCAAACCCATGACCACCAGCAGCTTGAACCGCTAGTCAGCAGCTTATGCTGTACATCAAAACACATTGTTATTCCAAGCACTGTCATCCCTAAATCTAACACCCACCACAGTGAAAACCGAGTTCACTTCAGCTGGAGCGTTGGCAAACGGAATGCAAGATTTCCAATATGACACAAAGAACGGCATCGCATTCACAATCTGGTACAGACGGTATCCGTTGCAACGAGACTGGAGCTTAACGTGGTGCGACGGTTTGCGTACCTCATTGACCCATTGAGCTATACTGGGTGATGTCTCCGGGCATCTTGAGAGCTACTCCTACCAGGTTGGTCAATGGTGAGAGGTCAGACAAACTCAGTCTCCTGGTCCTCCAGGTTGGGGGTTTGAAATGGGATGGCGTCCACTTCGGTAAAATTAAATCATTGCCACCTCCCCGCTGCCTTGCGGACAGGCTTTTGAGCCGAAGGCTTTGGAGGAGGACCCTAATCGTTCTCCTGTCTAGGTCTGGGCTCCCTGGTAGTATCTCAGCCCACATACAACCATGACATTTTCTTCAAACATAAACTTCATCCTGCATCGGTCATCGCGCAGATTATCAAGGGTCGCCTTATCTGCTGCATACAGCAGGGCGGATAAGCGAAAGCATGCTACTGCTGGCGCCTCCCTTCTTTCTTTTCCACCTTTTTCTCTTACTCCCATCCCGGCCCCCATTACTAACCTTCCTTCTATAATTCCCAGCTTAATTGACAGCAACCGAAGTGCCACTGGAGTAGAACCATCTGCAGCCACCATTCCACCACACCTATGGGAAGCCTATCGGCAAAAGTCCCTTATAAGGCCACGCTATCCCGTTTCTACGGCGACATTCAACGTTCGCACTTTAAGACAAACAGGTCAACAGGCTGCACTCGCACGCACCTTGGACACTGGGTATTGATGTGTGTTGTGTGTCCGAACCTAGGATCAAGGACTCTAACGGGGTTATTTAATTAACCGCACCCGGCTTATCCTCTCCTCATTGGTTACACGCATCCGGAGACGCCGATGCAGCACTCACGGGTCAAGCTGGTGTAGGTATCATTCTAAGCTCCAACGCTGAGCCATCGTTGGTTGATTGGATTCCGGTGAACAGCCGTTTATGTGCAGCTCGTTTGACGGCATCAGCTAAGGTGGATTCACGAAGTAATACAAAACGCTGTTTGATTGTGATTTCCGTTCATGCTCCCACCGACTGCAGTTCTAATGCTTTCAAGGACACATTCTATGACGAACTGAACGCGCTACTACGCAGTGCTACTAGTTCAGATATTATAGTACTTGCAGGGGGTATGAACGCACAAGTAGGGCTGCGCCCATATTGCTAGTGAAAAAGGCAACCGAAACCATTCGCTTTTGTGGAAATTATTCAACCGGCATGAACGCAGCACCGAATCTCCATCAATACCCGCTGCCACTACCGGAGGATCTTTATGCAAAACTCAACGGCAATCGCATTTTCTCATAGATTGATCTCGCGGATGCTATCTTCACATGATAGTGGATGATGACGCCGGCGTCTTCTTACAATTAACACTCACCGTGGTCTATATCAATACGATCGGCTACCGTTCGGAGTGAACGCTGCTCCGGGACTCTTTCAACAACTGATGGATACTATGCTAGCAGACATACCATCGGCTGGTGCATACTTGGATGATATTGTCGTCGCATCAACAGACAGAACCCATCATTGCTCCCACTGCTTGCAGGTATTGGAACGCCTACGTGAATATGGTTTGACTGTGACAGCTAAAAAATGTTATTTGTTTGTGCCTCAGCTGAAATACCTTGGTTTTCTTGTCTATCATGACGGGCGAAGACCTGATTTTGAAAAAGTGCGCGTCATCGAGGAATAATCTGCACCACATGATCTAGCTACTCTGTAATCGTTCCTGGGCATGGTAATTTATTACAGTGCATTTATTCCTGATATGCTTCGACTTCGCGGATCATTGAATGTGTTGCTGGGTAAAAATTGACCCTGGGTTTGTTTATTCAAATATGAGGAAGCGTTTACGTTCATTAAGAAACCTCTTGTATCTGACTTAATACTGGTACATTATGACCCAAAAGCAGACATCATTGTCTCAGCAGATGCCTCTAGTTATGGTGTCGGAGCAGTTCTCCGTCAGCAATTTGGCTCTAGCACCATGAGATCGGTTGCCTCCGCATCACGTGCCTTAACGAAGTCTGAAAGAAACTACTTACAAATCGAGAAAAAGGCACTAGCTCTTGCTGTCATAAAGTTTCGTCGGATGTTGCAGGGTAGACCATAAACCATTATTAGCCATTTTCACTTCAACGAAGGGTATACCTGTGTACATAGCGAATCACCTCCAACGCTGGGCGACACTGTTACTGAGACATAATTTTACAATAGCTCATGTGCCTACGGCAGATTTCAGCTACGCCGATGCGCTGTCTCGACTTATCGCAAAACAGCCGAGCATAGAAGAAGACCAGGTGATCTCTTCAGTTGCGCTTGAATCGAACGTGAAACAACTTCTGTGTAATTCAATCAGAGCTCTCCTGATTCCTTCTGTGGACATTCAGGAGCACACCAAACTCGACCTCCTTTTGCAAAACTTTATTCGTTTTTTAAGAACAAAGTGGCCAGACCGGATTACTGACACACACCTTAAACAATTTTATTGTCGACGTGATTCGTTAGCACTGATTGTTGATTGTGTTATGTTCGGTGAACGCGTGCTTGTTACGAAGTCCCTGCAGACGAGGGTATTAAGACGTTTGCACCTACATCACGTCGGAATATCACGGATGAAAGCTTTAACCAGAATTTACGTATACTGGGCTTTTATTGACAACGCGATCCATGACTGTGTCGCCACATGTAGCAGTTGTACATCAGCAGCGAAACTTCCAAGCACAATCATTCAACCCTGGATGCCAGCTTGTAAGTCTTGAGTGAGAATTCGCGTTGATTTTGCTGGTCCCCTGCAAGGCCAGTGTTTTTTGATTGTGATTGATGCATATACCAAGTGACCGGACGAATACCTGATGAACACAACTACGACAGCAGCCACGGTACGAAAATTACAACAGTTATTTGCACAGTTCGGTTCACCAAACACCTTGGTTTCCGATAACGGTTTGAAGTTTATCTCCAACGACTTTGGTGCTTTCTGTCAACGTACTGGTATCAAGTACTACCGGTCGCCTCCGGGGCATCCCCAGTCCAACGGGCAAGCAGAACGATTCGTGTATACCTTCAAACGTTCACTTCTAAAACTGCAAAGGGGGAAGAACCGACAGATGAGATCATATAGCTGTTCCTGTTAACTTATCGGGCTACGCCCAACCCCGCTTTACCAGACAGCATATCCCCAGCGGAAACCATGTTCGGGCGTGAGATACTTCTTCCAATTGATGCAGTACGCCCTAAGGTTGCGCAACGGGCACTCGCGTCAGGCGTAAGCAGAAGTTTTCTACCAGGGGAACCGGTGTACGCATTATATACAAGACCGAACCACCAAACCTGGCAACCTGCAGTGGTACGAAAGGGAAAGGCACTGTGCTCTACGCGGTGTCTATCGGACCGTTGTCTCTGGTACGACACGTTAATCAGTTACTCAAACGACAGATCAACATACGGTCACTTCTACTTTCGAGTTGCCGTTAGAGATACTGATGTACACGTTTAAACTATCAAAAACTATGGGTCTTAGTGAGCCGACGGGTACGTGCACAGAGTCATGCCACCGAATCACTCGAAGATCTATGCGAACAACTAAACCGATCCGACATTTACAGGTGAACCCAGCACTTCATTCGTATGAGCCTAGAGAACGTGTTTTCAAAGAAGCTGTTAAACCAGACGACCCGGTGCCTCGAAAGTACAATGTCGTCCCACACACCTGCCGTGAACTTCACTCTCACACAATGTTATACTGTGGTTCATATGCATCTGACACACCCTCTTACCTTAACCTATGTTGTCGGCTGTCTTGTCTGTTTCATGTGACTTGAGATCTGGTCAATGCACTGTCCAGTGCGGTGGAAGTCTTTGTTCTGACCGCAATTATAACACCAGAAGTCGGTCACATCACCTGTTATGTGCTCTTTGGGCTTCAGTGCAGCCACGAGTTTGGAAAGCGGGGTTCTCACCTGTTGATCGTTTCTCCGAGCTTGATAAAGTGATTGAATACGTTTCACCACCATGCGAGGTGGCATCTTCAGTGCGGTGATAGGCAGTGTACAATCCTGCTTATAAATCGCCAGTCCGTGATCGACGGGCAGGTGACTTTTGAAGGTGGTAATTTCGATTTGCGCCACCTGATCTCTGCCCATTTGCTTCCGCGGCTGAACCATGTCTTTCTATTCACCGGAGATCTTTCTGAGCTGATGGTACACGGGGTCGAGGTCGATGCGAATAGAAAGACATGGTTCAGCCGCGGAAGCAAATAGGCAGAGATCACGTGGCGCAAATCGAAATTGCCACCTTCAGAAGTCACCTGCCCGTCGACCACGGACTGACGATTCAATAAGCAGGATTGTACACTGCATATCACCGCACTGAAGATGCCACTTTGTATGGTGATGAAACGTATGCAATCCCTTTATAAAGCTCGGAGAAACGATCAGCAGGTGAGCAACCAACCCGGGCTACCAGTGTTCCAAGTTATTTCGAAGGGGGGTTCTGTTGCCTCTGCTGATTACTCAACCGTCCATCGCACCTCAATCACCCCCGTTCTTTCATCGAACATACATTCGAGTAATTTGGTTCTGTGTAATGATTATGGTCCGTTCATCGAGATGCAATGGGTTCAGCTGCTTCTAAACCCTTCGCAAAAACAGATAGTATTATTAATAATTATTTCGATGAATTAATGACGGTCGAATAGCAACGTACTGCTGTTCTCGTAACCATGTCGTATCCGACAAGGTGTTTAACTGTTGGTATGGCACACAGAAAGCACACACCCGACTCAGCTTTTTAGTGAGTTTTTTTTAGTTTATTTCAACTCGGTGTAGTTGGCTCGATGGCACACAGCGTGCACAAACCTGCTTCAGTAGAAGTAATTTGATTTCATGAAGCACTGCAGTGGAACCTCATAAGATCTGCTACTGGAAGCCGATTAACATGCCTTAGCATTCCGACGTTGAGTTGCTCACCGAACTGATTGCAGCACTAATCACGCGAGTCTCCTAACGGCTCGCAATTCAACAAGTCGGTGCCATTGATTGTCTGTCACCGCTTGATTTCCCACCATTGTATAGACTGCGCTGCTGCGTTGCGTGTTCTCCGTGCAACATCCTATCCCAGCTTGTATCCGAAGGAACCTGCTTGTTACCTAGCTCATGGCTTCACAGCTTGATGCGGAGCAAGGAGTACGCAGTTTAAGAGGTGCCGGATTCTATCGTTTGTTTTTACCATCTCTAGGTAAACATGCGTACATTTCCCACTCTTTTCACCACTCTGCCTGCCACTTTGCACTTCTCTTGCAGTACTATATGTTTGCCTATACATGGGAAATGTCCTCGGTCATTCGAAAGATGGTTGATGAGCAAATGAATTGCGAGGACGTTGCCATGAATTTTTTGGTAGCACATCTCACAAGAAAACCACCACTCAAAGTGAGTACGAACCTTCCCTCCACTCCAGACGGATGGCGGCATTCCTTGCTATTAATGTAGTTCTGTTTACACCATCTATTCCGTTTCACAGAGGACAATATCCTTGCCATACTTTCATTCGTTTTTTGTTTGTTTGTTCCTTCTTCGTCTCTTTTCTCGCTGTGCCCATACCGATCGAGAGCAAATGCTTCATTTTGATGATTTTTGCTTGGGTAATGTAAGTACGAGAGCTATCCTGTCTTCGTAATATTATACTTGTTCGCTACATCGCTCGCAATTCTGTCTTTTCTCGATGAAAACATGAATCCACCCTATTTTGTGTACATAAACCAGTGCCTCCTCGTCCAGCAGTAACAAGACGTTATCCGTCGTTAGAATGATGAGATTGATAATTTTTCTACCGCGTATCTGATGAATGAGCACGTTGTAATACAGTCCATGGTTTTTTGTTGGCGCTGTGTCTAGTTTCTAGACTACTGAGATTACATACATACATATTTCATGAATTTTCTTTTTCGTGGGTTGATGACAGTTAAGCCGAGTTTGCGTCGAACTGAACCCCACGGATCGGTCGCCTCAAGGGTTTGTCGCCTTTTCTCGCATATCTACATCGATAGATCATTGACACTTTTTGTTCAATCATTTATTCTCTGGTGTTGACCTTCTCATCGGCTAACTGCACCACTTTCTGATCACAGTCTAGATTTTCTTCGTGGGTCCTCGATTTTCTGACCTTATTTTTCAAATGAGGTGAACTTACCCCCCCCCCGTCGGGAACTGTAGCCATTCATTTATTTGATCCCTGCGGCGTGACTAAGTTAAAATTCGTTGAACTTGACCAAGTAACAGCGGAGATTGGGCCCGAGTAGGCTATGCAGCCTGACTTGTTTACGTGGTTACCCGGTCCCGCTTTACACAATAAATAGGGTAATTACGATTTGGGATTTCTTTGCATGCTAAGGCCATTCAAGCTTACCTCAATTGTCTGCACTAAGAAAAGTTTGTCTATGAATACATTACGACCGTTCCTGTCAAGGCACTTAGTCCTTACCAAGGAACGCGATAGGATAAATCTTTTCTTGTCTTCACGATTGTATTCTGCCCATCGAATGGACCTAACTTTCGCTTTACGCTTACGGTGTTATTATCCATACTCCGGCGTAGGACATTGTGCATTTGTGCGCATCAGCACCGACACTGCCTCCACCGTTTTCGTTTTTGATTCCTTCGGTGCGGGTCGTTTCACATGTGCAAACGTTGCGCCCGCTCTCCAAATATGGTAGACTGTCAAATTGCCAGGCAATGTTTACTGTTCCAAGGGCTCTTCAGATTTTATTCATCTAGCTGTAATCACTTTTTCTTGCATCAGCCCTCTTTTGGCTGGTTTGGAAAACGGCTTTCTGCGTGGTCCATTCTCACTCATGCCCTTTTTCTCTTCAACACACATATTTGCAATTCTTTTTACATTTCATCAAGCAATCAGGTTGGCGGAATTTTTTTTGTATTCGAGCTCATGTAAAATCAAGCTCTGGAAGTTGAATACCCCACTTTAAGTTTACTCAAGTTCCGTCATTCCACTGGTTGGGGCTTGTCAGAGGTTTGCCCTTCATTTCTACCGAACCGTTGAGTTAATCATTTGTTGAAGCCTTCTCATGTTCGCGCCAGGCCTAGTTCTAACCTTCTCATCTAATTTCATCGGGTGCTAATTTGACTATCACATTAGTGGCGTGTGCGCTGTTGTCCATCTGTCAATGGGCATTTTCAATTGTTGACTCGACATTCCACTCCACTGTATCACATAGCTTTGGTACAGCTATCCTAGCATACACCCCACCTGTCTGTGCCTTCGTCTCTTCTTCTGCTTCCATTCTAACCATGCTCGATAGGGAATTGTTTGTCACACTCTCCTCGTTTCACCCGCTTCTTTCCCTTCCTCACCCAAGGTTACTATTCACTGGACCTTCAGCTGTCCGACTTGTGGAACAACGCTTCACGATCAACCGGAGCACTACAAACAACGATCCAATTGTATCAATTGGCTCACACAATTCTACGGCTACAATCCGCTGGTTTACAGCCAGTACAGAGCTGATTCACTCCTGTTCAAAACACGTATCCCCCCAACCAAACAAAAATGCTACAAGTACATTTAATACGTCTCCCTGTCGATCGGTTTCGCCCCAATATAGCGCTGCAGTTTGACTGCTTATCTCCATGCATTTGTTACTCGCAACTGCTTTTCACCTTTCAATGCCTTTCATCTTTCGGGAAGAAGAGTCTGCTTGCTCTTTCTCGTCCTATTATATTGATTTATCACGCCCAGAGTCGCGTTCTCTCTTCACCGGACAATGTGGGAGATTAAACTGAAAAGAGGTCCATGGTTCCACAACCGGGGATCTCGACCTCTAGTACTTGTAATAAGATTGAGTAGACTACACTTGGAACACCGGGGGTGATCCATTTGCATCACAGCGACGGATACGTTGGCTATGCGCTGACTTTTCCCCCAATTCCCGGGTAACTAAACATCTCGATGCTATTGGGTTGACAGCTTACGTGCAATCTTGGCATAACCTCGATCCCTACCCTCCATCTCGAATCTTTCTCCCTTAGCATGCTTGGGGCGGTCAACCCATGCTCCTTGTTTATTTCTTGATAAGTTCTGTATTGAAATACGTATAAGAGATTGTCAGCAACGTTACAGCATTCACATCGACCTAGGCCATACATTTGGGCTAAGTCACAGCAATCAATGCAGACCTGTATATCATCCTTGCTCCTGCACTTACGTCCCTGGTTGAGTTCCCACACATATTGCTTAAACCAAGCCAGAGATCAAAGTGGAAAACTCTTGCAAAGGTTGAGAACAGAAGTACGACCAACCGGCGGTCACAGAGTCAGCGCAGAAGCTCCATGCATAACGTCTTCGGTTACACCGCATTCATATTCTATCTGGGTAGCTAGACGACCAGGTTTCCTCACTTATGTAGCAATGTGGCTCACTCTCTTCAATTTCCTCACGGCCATTTGTCATACCGTCACCTTGTCTTTCTGGGTCTACATCAGACCAGGCGTAGAACCGGGGTAGACTCTCAGTTGTCATTTTGAGATCGCGGTTCAACCACCCTACAAATATATCAGGAGGCTTGTTACCAAACGTTAACCGGCGGCTCCGTCGACCATGGGTGCTCTTAGTGCAACAGTAATCGAGGACACGCAGATTCTTAGCGTTTCCGCAGCACCGATTAACCGCGACTTTACTCCTCGACTTCTGACCGCTAGATCAATGTATCGCGCTTGTTGCAGATGATTTACCTTCTGGAAGCCACACGGACTCCGTCTGCAAATGTGAACTTCATCCGTCACCCGGTCCCCAGCAGGATAATATAGCTGGTCAGGTGTGCGACCACTTCGGTTGCTTTCAGTACTTGTGAAACCAAGCTACAATCTAGTCCATCACTCCGCCGATGACTGACGCATATCGAAGTCTACATCACTGTACGCTAAATGATCTAACCTCTGTGCAAGGTAACGTATGTTTTCGATACTTCTTCAGACTAATACGATTATATATTAATCAAATCAATCAGACAGACTACTGAGGTCCTTAAAACGGGGGTAAAATCATTGTTTAGAAGAAGTCAGTAATCGCTATTAAACAGCTCAATTCCTCGACCTGTATACGCTTCCACTGAGATGTCACAGATCGATCGGTACAGCGCAGCAGTTAGGTCTGAATACATTTTTTCTAAGTGCACAAATTCGGTTCATGCAGTTGAATTGCGATTGTTTCGGTGGTTTCTTTATCCGTCTGCGTGTATACCTCGGTCGATTTTCGGGGACCTTGTAGATACTTTTGAACGCGCATTCCCTCTGCCCCGTGCTGGGGCTGGAACCCAACTCCTCTAGCAGCCTATGCCACCGAACCATGGGGGGGGGGGGCGGAGGCAGACCATCTGAACTTGCAACATATCCTCCACTGCCATGCAGGTTTCTACCATTGCACATGACAACGGTCGACCTACGTAGTTACGACTTCCACCACGCAGTAGCACTGTACGCTTAGCATTTGAATACTGTGGGGGCGAATGTTCAGATTACTTATGAGTAGGAGAATTTTGCTGAAATTTTACTGGTTCATCCTAGTGGCTCATATGCCAGATTTGGGTTATACTGATCTAGTTTGTGAGCCGCTCTGGTGAAACAGTAAGATTTCATCAAAATCCTCCTACTCATCAGCATCTTTGAGTGCGTCGGATGGTTTAGGGTTGTGCCCTGTGTCGGCATGGTGACCAGCTATGGGGTAGTTACCTAACATTCTGCTTCTAGCCGTCAGCTATGCTCGACGGTGTTCTTTCACCCTCGGATAGGCACCTAGTCGTACAACCAATGTATCTTGCTTCATAGGAACTGGGAAATGAGTAGATACAGATGACAATGACCACATACTGGGTAAAAAGCGCTATTTTACAAGTCCCGTTGGGTGGTCTGGTGTTTTATCGAAAAACGTTAACGGCAATATGCATTTGGTACTTTTACTGTCAGATTAGAGGACTCCTCGTTTTTACTGCTGCAACTGCACTCAGCAGCTCAAAAAGATGACATGCTAAATCCAAGGTATTTCCCGGGAATTGGACAGAGAGATAGCGCTAAGTAACAAGATGTAAGTGGCAGAGTATGTCATCCAGCCGACTTTTAAATATGGCCAGTGTCAGTACCGTAACTATAGGGTCGGGGAGAGCTTTCCACGGGTGACACAAACGAATAGAAACGAAATTTCTACAGCACTCCAAAAGGCCGTACTGTGCTGCTAGTTACAAGGAAAGACCTCCCAAGTGTGTTTGAGTTGCTGTGAAGAGCGTCACACGTGATTTGAATTGTGAAAATCAAATATGCCATTATCAGGTCATTTCGTAATCGGTGATACCGTCCGTTGAATACTCCCAAACGTTCACACCTCTGCTCTTGTGTTACATTGCGCATTCCAATGACGTATTTAGAAGCGCGATGTTGAGGTTGATCCAGTGAAGTGAGGTCGGGTTTTGGCCATGGTTGCCCAGCTTGAATTGCCTATTCGACATACGCACTGAACATGTGTAGGCAATTTGTCCGAACGCCCATCGCAATAGACCGACGTGTTGGTTCCCAGCTTTCGGTGTCTTTTCGAATTACTTCGAACAACCCGTTGTTCTGTACCAACACACCCAACCCTCGTTCGACGGAAGATCACTACAGTACCTGTGTTCTTAGGCTGTAGAAATGTACAGCGTCATATGGTCAGTACCTTGCATTTGCTCACGTTGGGCTGCAGTAGATTTGGGGTTGACCACTGAATCACTATAACTAGATCACATGGAGTTATCGTGAATAGGTCTACTATCCTTGAGACTAAGCTTTACCATCGGTGTGCTGATGAAGTGGGTCTGTGCTTTTTTTGCTTGGAAAATTCGTCTGAGCTCTTGTGATAAACAACAAGTAGGAATTGGCCGCGATTTACACTTTGTACGAATTTGTAGAAAGATTGCTTTTCTGTTGGCCGTTAAGACCACTGGTGTGTTCTTCTGCTCCATATGGATTTTTATGAAACTATCTAGATAAGCAGTTTCCGACAGCATCTAGCATATTCGCTGTAGTTCCTCTGAAGGTGTATCATGAAGCAGATTCTTTTCCGCACGACTGATTAGATTAGGAATTAAATCCCGTTTTAACCTAGGTGGGACGAATTTGTGGAAGTTGATGTACAAGCTCTTCGACGTGCCTTTTTTATTTACGTGACGCTGCAACATCCCGCTATCGAGTCTCTTTAGGTCGACGTCAAAAAGTGAAAACAGCTATCTTCTTCTACCTCCGTAGTAAAATACATCAATTTATGGGCTCGTCTAAAAGTGTTCGTAAGATATTCGATATTTTGAAGGGTATGTATATAATCCCACCAGCCTAGACACTAGACATAGAGCCAACAAAGCCTTGGAGATTAGCAGATAATGGACCGTCATCGTGGCATAATAGTTGAAGGTGAGCAACACACTTCAGCTAATATGCTGCAGGAAGAAGGGAACATTTTGACAAAAAGTAGAACAAAACATTTTAGTTGGTTTTTCACACGCCGATTTTGCTCTTTTTTGTCATTTTCTATTTTTTTAGTATTAAACATTTGAATCAATACAATACTGTACACAATTCTTCCACTGATTCCGGTTGCGGGCCATATCTTCAAGAGTGCTAAGCCATTGGCACTCCTCATCTTTGGGCCCCCATCCTGGAAGATGTACGGATCCAACAGCGGCTAGACACGACGTCAGCGATTTCATATGCCGCCGCCAAGTGGAAGGCTGACCACCACGCGGTCGCCTCCAGCCAGGTCCTTGACGAGCGAATAGAGCGCGACTCGGTAGACGCTCAGGTGCCATGCGTAGGACGTGACCGGGCCATCTTAACTGACGCAACAAAACCAGCTTGTTGAAGGGAATGCTCGCATTCACCAAGATGCGACGTCGAATGTCATTACTATTAACTCGATGTTGCCACCAAACACAAGAGATCCTCTTTAAGCAACCGTTATCGCACGCAGAAAGACGACGCATGTCTTCCACTCGAATCGGCCAGGACTCGCACCCATACAACAATACTGAGCGAACTGATGCGCAGTAAACGCGGCCCTTTTGTGAGAATGAGACGTCGCGACGACGCCACAAGTGCCTCAGATTGACAAATGCTGATCAAGCTTTAGCGATACGAAGAGAAAGTTCTTTGTTGATAGTGCCGTCAGCAGAAACACAGCTCCCAAGGTAGACGAAGCTATCTACCTGTTCAAGTTGTGCACCATCGAGAGTAAGCACAGGAGCAGGTGAAAGCCAATCCTTGAGCAGTACTTTACATCTCCATGGGGCGAAGCTCATGCGATACTTAGATGCTTCAACCGCCAAACGATCCAGGATGGGTTGCATACGATGAGGATTATGACCAAGTAAGGCGATATCATCAGCATAATCTAAGTGGGTCGCGCGCTCACCCGGTAGAAGCTCTAGGCCAAAATGTTGGAAACCCTCTAGGGCATTCGACAGAACGTCTTCGATTGCGAAGTTGAAGAGGAATGGGGACATAGGGCAGCCCTGTCGCACACCACTATTGACAGCGAATTGCGAGGAAAGCTTGCCATAGACCCTCACTCTGCCGGATATATGAAGCTAAAGTGCTCGTAAGATGGCGATATATTTCTCTGGTACCCCCTTCTTTAGCAAGCAACGTCATAAAGCAGGTCGATCAACGGAGTCAAAAGCGGCACATATGTCTAGGAATGCAGCGATTGTGGGCCCGTGATA